AAGGCAAATCATAGTAGTCTGGTAGTCTGGTGACCCAGACTTGCACTGAGAAATTGACTTCAAATGAGGTTCCCGTCCTCTGTGTGCACCGCAGTAACCTGTCTGCAGCCTAAGAGAACAGCAAGAATATTTAAGAGCTTTAGCACGTATCAGCACGGCTTAAAGATAGCACGAGTGAGTGAGTGAGAGAGGGAGGGAGAAAGAGAGAGAGAGGCAGCCCTAGAAGGCGACACTATCAACCCTGATAGTGAGGACCATTTCATACCGGAAAAAAAAACTGCTGAGAGTTAAGAACGAACCATTGAACCCCTCCCTCCAGTCGTGCATTTTAAAACGAGGAGCACGGTTTCCATCAGCTTAAACCGGGTGTGATCAGAGTCTGGTTCGAGCCATCAGTCGAGCTCTCTCTCTCACACACACACACACACGCACACAGAGCACTCCACACACAACAACACTGCGGAGACTCGCTGATGATTAAAAAGCATCGGTTTCCTATCGCTACTTAAAGTGAAGTCTAAGTGAAACCATTGGGGGGACCATTTGTCTGGATGTCATGTTCCAGTGACGGATACAAGAAATCGCTCGCCCGTCATAACACAACACAACACAACAAGTGTTTAATAATTTAATGAGAAATTGACAAACTGTGTGGGGGGGGTATCAAAACAATCCCTGAAACTGGTAGATGGAGAGCTTGAGATCGCTCCATGCGGCTTAAAATCTGGGATGCCCCCAGTTACTGCCCACCTTTGCTGTGTTCCCAATGTCCTGGACCCAAATAAATGTGGATGGAGAACACCCCGTGGCATCGCAACAGCTCAAGTTGATGGTCAACATCTATTGCAAACGAAAGGGAACCGACACGAAAGGGGGTTGGGGAGGTGGGGGTGGGGTGGGAGGTGGGGTTGGGGTGGGGGTGGGAGCTGGGGCGGGGTGGGGGCTGGGGGTGGGGTGGGCTGGGGAGGTGGGGGCTGGGCTGGGGTGGGGGAGGTGGGGGCTGGGTTGGGGTGGGGGAGGTGGGGGCTGGGGTGGGGTGGGGGAGGTGGGGGCTGGGGTGGGGTGGGGGAGGTGGGGGCTGGGGTGGGGTGGGGGAGGTGGGGGCTGGGGTGGGGTGGGGGAGGTGGGGGCTGGGGTGGGGTGGGGGAGGTGGGGGCTGGGGTGGGGTGGGGGAGGTGGGGGCTGGGGTGGGGTGGGGAGGTGGGGGCTGGGGTGGGGTGGGGGAGGTGGGGGCTGGGGTGGGGTGGGGGGTGGGGCTGGGGGTCGCTACCCGGGGGGAGCTGACACTCTACGCGGAAACGTTGGTAGGTTATGAGGCGAAAAGATGTTGATGGGAAACATCTTTTTGGCCACACACAATACTACTAAATAATAAGGTTTGTTGTTATTAAGCACTCGGCATAGTTCTTTGAGTTGATTCTTGTCCACAGACTGGACGGCAATGTGTGGCCAATGTGTGTGACATATCGCTCAGACTCCAGTCTGTGCAGAATAAGTGCAGCCCCGACCGGTAACCCGGGACCCCGGGGCGGGGCCGCTCAGGGCAGCGGTGTCCGCGGGGACACGGGATCCATCACTCAGTGAACCTGGAGACCAAAATCAGCGAAAGGGAACCAAGAACCGGGACACGAGGGGTCAGTGAGTGGGGCACAGACTGTGAGAGAAAGGAAGTTAACCCTTTGCTTCTCTTATTAGAAGTGAGGAAGGAGTCAAAATCTGAAGTCTACAGCGGTATATATGTATGTGTGTATGTATGTATGTTTGTGTGTGTGTATGTATGTGTATGTATGTCTGTGTGTGTGTGTATGTATGTGTGTGTATGTATGTATGTGTGTGTGTGTATGTATGTGTGTGTGTATGTATGTATGTATGTATGTTGTGTGTGTGTATGTATGTGTGTATGTATGTATATGTATGTTTGTGTGTATGTGTGTGTTTGTATGTGTATTTATATGTATGCATGTGTGTATGCATGTGTGTATGCATGTGTGTATGTATGTATGTGTGTATGTATGTATGTGTGTATGTATGTATGTGTGTATGTGTGTATGTATGTGTGTGTGTATGTGTGTGTGTATGTGTGTATGTATGTATGTATGTGTGTGTGTATGTGTGTGTGTATGTGTGTGTTTGTGGGTGGTGGGGGGGGAGGGGGAGCCTTCAAAATGATGATTAAAAGACTGAGGGAACAAAAACACATGAAAGAAAATATAGCAAAGACATCCGGACAGGGGGAGAACCGGACACCGGCGTCAATAGCGATGAAACAAAATAAAATAAAACGGTAGAAAGGGAGGAAAGGGATCCCGAGGAAGGGGTGACACGAAAGAAGGCAAAGAGGATATAACACAGTGAGAAAAATAAACAACTATACGTGACAGCTGATAGCCACGGAGAGTCGGGGCTGTCCTGGTGAGGGGCAGTCGGGGGGACGATCGGACTGAGCCACAGCGCAACTCTGCTCACTCTGTGTAAGCACCAGAGAGACCGCTTGGTATCTGTGTGTGTGTGTCTGTGTGTGTGTCTGTGTGTGTGTGTGTATCTGTGTCTGTGTGTATCTGTGTGTGTGTCTGTGTGTGTGTGTATCTGTGTTTGTGTGTGTGTGTGTGTATCTGTGTGTGTGTGTATCTGTGTGTGTGTGTCTGTGTGTGTGTGTGTCTGTGTGTGTATCTGTGTGTGTGTGTGTATCTGTGTGTGTGTGTGTGTATCTGTGTGTGTGTGTGTATCTGTGTGTGTGTGTATGTGTGTGTGTGTGTGTATCTGTGTGTGTGTGTATCTGTGTGTGTGTGTATCTGTGTGTGTGTGTATCTGTGTGTGTGTGTATCTGTGTGTGTGTGTGTATCTGTGTGTGTGTGTGTGTGTGTATCTGTGTGTGTGTATCTGTGTGTGTGTGTATCTGTGTGTGTGTATCTGTGTGTCTGTGTGTGTGTGTATCTGTGTGTGTGTGTGTGTGTATGTGTTTGTGTGTGTGTGTGTATCTGTGTGTGTGTGAGTGTGTATCTGTGTGTGTGTGTGTGTGTGTGTGTATCTGTGTGTGTGTGTGAGTGTGTATCTGTGTGTGTGTGTGTGTATATGTGTGTGTGTGTGTGTGTGTTGGCGGTGACTGTCAACAGCGATCAGAGGCACATTGCTCGCCATCACAGGACGCGCGATGTTGCGCTCCTCTCTGTCGCTCACACGCCGATCAGTATCAGTATCAGGAGCTCTGTTAACGTGTCAACACAGACAGACGCGCAAACCCTCATCGCTCTCACCCTCTCACGGCGGCTACGGGAGAGGTTGCAGCTGATGCCCGGGTTGGTTGTACAGTTAAAAACATACACCAAATCTTTAAACCTTCAAGATCTCCAGTTTCCCCGCCGTCTTTATACTTTATACCCGTGCGGTTAAGTGGTCAACGTCTCCATCGAAAACCACCCAACGTTATGCTCGTTAGGTGCCTTAACGCGAGTGGCACAGTGCACATATGAATAATATACATACGTCGTTGAATTCGACAACAAAATATGGAGAAGAAAGTAACTCGGGTCCTTATGTTTTATTTTCTTTCCCTGAGAGAGGATCGAGTTGATTGAGTAAAAGCGCTCCAGACGTGACCTAAATGCGGTTTTAATCCTCAGACCCCTATGAGGACGCGTTCCCTTTCATTCCTTCACACCCGATCTCGAGGGTATTACGGAGTTAACTTTTATGCAGATGCGGATCCAAACAAAAGGCTAATGCCTTTAGTTAACCGGAGGCAGTCATCACTGAACACATCCAGTCTGACACCCCAGACATGCAGAGTGCAATCGAAATCTGCAATCCAACAGCTACAAGGGACGAGTTGTCCTCAATTGGATTTTTTTTAAAAAAAGCACCTTAATATCTTTTTTTTTTTTTTTTTGCAACGCATGCTGCACGGGGTAGACTGTCTGCAGAGAACTTTTTAGCCACAAAGCAGAAAATATAATGCGGGCGTTTCATAATGCATCCTCTGTTAATCTCCTGTCGTGCTTCCACGTATGCGGTGGGTGGCGTGGGGTTACCCATCATTTCTCTAACATTTGCATCTTTCAAATATTCCACTCTCATTTCACTTCAAGCGCGTCTAATAACGCGAGGAGCAGATTGTCTGCCTTCGTTTGCTTAATTTGCTTCATCTAAAAGCGATCCAACTTCAACATCTTGTTGCCCTCTGGCAGTTCGTTTTAAGTGATCTGGGCTTAATTTCATATTGATATCAAAGCAAACTCCCCCCCAGACTACTGCTGGTTACTGAGCAGAGGGTCCCGATCAGTCATATGCACAGCTCACACTTTAGCAAAGCTGAATCATACACAAGAAAAAAAAACACACACACACATTAGCAGAGAAATGTAACGACAATACAGTGTATCCCACAACTCGCCGCCTCTCCTCACTTGGGATCCCAGTTTGTTCCTTTATTATTGATGGGACTTAAAACAGTTTTGTTATCAATGTGAACTTTCTGTTTCCAGACTCCTGGACATGTCACTGGCAGAAAAGTTGCTCAGACCCGACCAGGTCCCTCACACACTCCGGGACCACGTTAAGGTGGCAAAGCTGGAGATTCCCAGACACAATCGGGTTCATTGCCACATCAGAAATTCCCATCGGCTGAAACGACACGTTCAAAGCTCAAGTGCTTTTCTACAGAGTCAACATACATCATTCTAAAGGGCTCGGACAAAAGCTTATAAATGCAACAGCAGCGGGAAAGCTTTCAGACGATTCAAATTGTTAAGAGCATTTCTGCGGCTCTGAGTTACCATGGTTTGGGAGGAGGGGACACACAGTGCAAACAGCCTCCTGAGCCCTGACACTGACACTGACACTGACACTGACACTGACAGCCACGTTAAACGGCACAGAATCAACCAGGAGCGAATCCTCTGCTGGGAAGTTGCCCTCTTCGCTGAAGTTTACGAGCGCTGCACAATACACCAGGAGAAGCATCGGCTCCACCTGAAGAGGTTGAACAAAACCCGGTCACCCACCTGACTGAGACAGACTTCCCCGCATCTTCACCACTGCAAGGAGAAAGCTCACAGCCAGAAGCGTCGCCAACTTCATCGTTTTCTCGTCTGGTCACTCAGTTCTGCGTAAAAATTACATGACTGCCAGTGTATCCTTATGAGGAGGCAGCGAGTCCAGTGTCTTTCTCCAGCCCCCCTCCACCCCTCCACCCCTTTTGCACCCTCTCTCTCTATGCACCCTCTCTCTCTCTCTCTCTATGCACCCTCTCTCTCTCTCTCTCTGCACTCTCTGCACTCTCTCTCTCTCCGACTGTCTCACTCTCTCTCCCACTTGTGCCAATGGCTTGTGGTCTGCGCTGAACCTGGGAGTTTGCAGACGCCTGAAGTTGCTCTGGTTGAGCCTGAAAGAGAGGGGCTGAGTCTCTGCGCGCTTTCCTCTCTCCTCCCTCTCTCTCTCTCTTTCACACTCTCTCTCTCTCTCTCACTCTCTCTCTCTCTCTCTCTCACACACACACCCCTCCGAGCACTTACTTGCACAGCGCTCTCTCGCCGCAGCAGCAGCAGCGCTGAACCCGGCACCAACTCAGCCGAGAGCCGCCCATTGGCAGCCATCAGAGCCCAGAGCACCTGCCGAGCCCTCGGCCATTGGCTCCAGCACCACATCCATCACAGCATCGCCCACGATAGCCCACTTGCAGGGGAGCCAGCATTCTGGGTCTTGTAGTTGTAACTTGGGTTTGCAATCCCCCCCCACCCCCCCATCCCACCCCCACCCCCCACACACACATACACACACCAACCCCCACCACCACCACCAACCCCCACTCCACACACACACCCACACACACACACACACTCACTCACTCGCTTCTCCTCACTCCGCTGTTAGGGTCGAAGACGCAATGGGGCAACGGTGGTGGTTCACGTTTTTTTCTTGTGCTTAGAATTCGTGCATCGCATCCGATCTGAGCCCCTATCCCGTAAATATCCTCATTGACCATTAATAACTTTGCACCGTCCGCCTCCCCACCCAAAGGAGAAGAAAAAAAAGGTTCGCAACTATGCGTTCCCTTAAACGTTTCCTTCCACACACTCCCAATTTCAGTGACAGGGCAGTGAAACGAAACCCCCGACTGCGAGCGCCCGGTCCCGAATGGGGCAAAACCTGTGCACTTTACGTGGCTTTTAATTTGTCGTTCACACACTGCAAAAGGGAAATAAAACGCAGAGGCAATAGTTTTGCGTCGAAACTAGTTTCAGATCTGACCCTTTTACCGTCAGTTCCGAAACACTGCAGCACTCGCCTTTTAACGTAAGGAGAATCCAAAGGTGAGTTTGTTCGTTTTATATATATATATATGTAAAATGATTAGTTTGGCTTATAAATACCGTCGCTGCACTACACCAATCCACATCGGACGTTGTTCTATTATTAACAAAGGCCCCAAAAGTGATTTGTTTTCTTTCATGTTGACCACATTCATCGTCGCATCGTCGTGGAAGTTCACTTTGGTACCGACGGAAAGTTTTCGATCGACGGTCGAACGTTCGATGCGCACAACGAGGACACGAGTTGCGGAGAAGATGCGACGCTCTTCTCGGTGCGTCTCGGGATACACCTACACACTGTGGTCCAGCGAATCCCAACGCCAACATCTGTCGCAACACTTGGAGAGGCTCTTTGCTGTTGGGAAGTCGGGAAACACATACTTTTACGCTAACAAACATTGACTTTTGGAGAGCAGGACCCAACCACATTGTCATACTTCCATTTGGTTTTAAAAAAAAACGCACAACTGTTTGATCCTACAAACACACCCACGTCAACAAAAAAAAAGGCACCTAATCCATGACTTTTGTATCATGCAATTCTAATCATCATCATCATCATCATCATCTTTCAGCGGCAGATGCGAATCGAAAGCTTTGAAAGATTCTTACACCACGAACCCCTCTTCCCCCATTCGAACTGCTTTCACGATAAATGACAGTGTACGTGTAAATAATAAATAATAATAATAATCCTTGCATTTGATATAGCGCTTTTCGCGTCTTCTAGACGTCCCAAAGCGCTTCACAGAATATACTGTAAAGCGAATTGACTGTATATTTCTGGGCGAACGCGGCAGCCAATTGCGCGCAGCAGTGTCCCACAAACAGTCATGGATTGAAAATGACCAATTTACTATTGTTGTTTTTTTGGAGGGATTATTATTAGGAGTGTGGAGTAAGGAAACTTGCCCAAGGTTTCGTCCCGCCTGGAATTGAACTCAGGTGTCTCACTTGCAAAGCGAGTGCTCTAACCACTATGGATAAATGTAAAATATTAAATTCCAATATGATTAACTGTGTTAACCGGTCCTTAGGCAACGAATTGCTGCATTTCTGATGAGCATGTTTTATTGAAAGCCATGTTGAGGTATGACAGTGAGTTTTGGTGTCAAAAAGTACAATACCGAATAGCAAATTCCCAGACTGCCACAATAACACAAAGACTCAAGCGATTTCCTTTTTTCAAATGTAATTTGTTTTAAAATCAGACCCACTATTCACCACCTTTCTCTCCGGCATTGAGACATTTGACCAAAATGTTCTGCCTCGTTCTCTGAAGTGTTATGATGACTAATGTGACAGCGCTCTCTAGTGGTATCAGGGAGCCCCACTCAAATCAAATCGCTCATTTCATACCATTTTTCATTTGTTTCGAACGAGTTTCTTTTCTTGTCAGGGATTTTAAGCGAAACACCGAAAGTATTTTAGTTTCTTCTCTTAATTTGCGATGCTTTTAGTTTCCCATCCCAGATACTAAACTCCCAAGCTTTTAAATCAACTGGTTCAGAAACTGTTTCAGGTTTTTACCAGTTTCGAGTTTTGTTTGATTTTCCAAGGCATTATTTGAATTTTCTAGAGGTTTTCTTGAAATTCGGATTTTCTGAATGCCATCTAGTTTTTTTTCCCTTCCCTTTCGTTTTATACTGGTGCATATGCAACCCTGTTCTCCATGACCTGCACCAAGTTACTGTTCCCCATGTATGATCCTGGTCACTGAGTTAGTCATTCATATTGTAAGGGACCATCGAAGCCAAACTCAATGACATCCTCACCTGCTGTCCACACATGAACAGTTTTCTACAAGGTCATTTGATACTGTACCAGAATTCCAGGACTCATTTATTGTAATAATAATAATAATCCTTGCATTTGATATAATGCCTTATCACGTCATTGAGACGTCTCAAAGCGCTTCACAGAATATACTGTAAAGTGGATTGACTGTGTATTTTGTGGGCGAAACGCGGCAGCCAATTGCGCACAGCAGTGTCGCACAAACAGTCATGGATTGAGTGACCAAATTTCTTTTTGAAGGTAGTGTTACCCCGGAAAGCAATCTGCCAATCGACTAACAACCGGCTTCCAACTTACTGCGAGGTAAACAGAAACACGTGGAAATAAGAAAACTTGCCTAAGGTTTCGCCCTGATCCGGAATCGAACCCAGGTCCTCTCGTTTGTGAGGCAAGTGCTCTAACCGATAAGATACAGGACTCACAATTGGAGATGTCCTTCCCTCTCCTCCTTCCCATTCCTCCATAGCAATGAGACCAATTCCAATACATCCCAATACTAAGATCAGCTAATATAAGAACATCGAGGAAGCATATCTGGGGCTCTTTTACTCTGAGTATTCATTTTGCACAAACCAGAATCATCTGTGCTGTTAATTCAACGGTGAGTTCAAGTTACCAGAATTGTTTTTACATTTTCAATGAATGGTAAAATAAATATCATGAAATATGAGTGAAATATCCTTCGAATGCCTTTTATATTTCTAAATTCAAATTCTCGATCTATTTTCTGTATTTTGTTCCGTTAAAACAGTCCATTGTCAGTTCCCTGTGCCATTTGCATTATTTTTAAAAATATATGAGAGCTTTCATTGAAAGAAAGTAAATTTATCTGAAATTACTACATTTAAAGCATACATTCACAATCTGTGGCATTGGTGTCTGTGACAGATATCGGAGAAATGTCTCCCACTTTCATTTTATTTGGTACAGACCTTATGATTAATACTTGTGTGCATTTCGTTTTAATATTTATTGTTTCACAAATCTCCGAGTTTTTTTTCAGCTCATGCATTTTCATTGCTAACGTTAAGTGCATTTTTTTTTACAAATGCTTGATATTAATTGTATAAAGCCTTCTGGAGCTTTTTTTCTTGGGTGGGGAGGGGGGTGAATTACCCTTTTTTTTGGTTGATTTTCTGAGATATTTGTCGTTTTTAGTTGTCAGTGAAAGTAATAATTTAAAGGATCAATTTTTTTTAAAAAATGCACCCTCAAAAAAAGTGGCTGAAATAATGTCTTGCGATTTGCTTTCTTTGTACAGTTTAAAACGTCTATCGATTCACAGGTTTGGAAAGCCCACATTTGAACAATATAAGCTTCTAAGTTGCCAAACTTGTTCAGATATTTGGGAACAATTTTCACTTTTAAAACATTTTTAAGTTTTTCCTTCTGGATTTTAAAAAAAAGAGACATCAGTTATGTTCTTCTGAGATTTAGTTCATATATAACCCCCGTCACCAAAAAGCAAAATGTGTTTACGTGGGGAACTGCATTCATTTCAGTCTCAAAACTACGAAAGGTTTAAGGGGAAAGGTTTAGGGGGCAATGTCTCTCGTGTATTTCAGAAGGATGTGACTGTATGATGGATCGAGCAGATTAAATCTATGGGGATGACATCCACTTTGGCCCTTCTTTGATCAGAAAATCAGTGCAGTGCATTGCTGTGCCCTGTCCCTGCAATTGCATTTGTCCAAATGTTTGTGCATTTCGGTACTGACAAAATAATTTGGAACACATACATAATTCTGAGCTTGAAGGCACTTCCCTCCCCCACTCCCCCCCCCCACCCCCGTTGTGGTTTGGTGGCAGGGTCGCCCTGAATCCAACAGCAGATGATCACTGCATCTGCATTTGCATTTTATCGCATGTGCATTTTATCACATGTGCATTTTATCGCATGTGCATCTTGTCGCATTGCAATAACACTTTGCACGCAATGCAATGCACACGGCAATGCTGAATGCGCACAGCACTGGACCGCAGACTTTCTTTTTTTAAAAAAAAAAGATACTTCCCAATTCCATACGTGATCAAAACCCACTTTTAACGTTCAGATGAAACCCATACAACTCCAACAGCGCTCATGCATAAATCCGCGA